GGCAGAAGATACACAAAAAATAATCTTGACTTATCGCATAGTAATAAATTATTAATATAAAAAATGTATTTCTGTTTTTTTCTTTTTAAATATTTTGTTAAAAGGCCACACAAGGAATTCAAACCAAAAAAAGATAATTTTCTGATTTGTTTTATTCTTGTATCAGGCTTTAAAGGGTTTAATAAGCTTTTTATTGGTTTTTGTTGTTATATTTTCTATTTATATAAGATGTAAATAAATCTGTTTTGATCACAATGCTTCTTTTACATAAGCTTTCTTGCACACCTTCATATATGGACAGGTCAGGTCAGAAATCAAACCAAAAACCTTTTAATTAGCAGAAAACTGAAGACAAAGATAAAATAAACCAGTTATTGAGTGAGTGGAAGAGTCAACAGAAACATTTGAGCTTGAAGTTTGTCGGTCAAAATCCTTAAAGCAAAAAAAGACACCTGAAGGAGGAAATGAGAGAACTAATACTATGTGGGACTTGTAATGCTGGTTAATTAAAATTAGCCACTTATAAGGCTGCAGTGCGTTTGTTTGAAATGTTGTAAGTTTAGTTTATTATCCCACAGCTGTTACATAGAGGTTACACAGCACTTTCAGACTTGCCCTTCGCATATTTCCTAATTGCTATTAGCAACAACAGCTGTGGCACCTTGGAACAATTAGCTTCTTGGAAAAGAGATCTACCTGCTATTAAACCCCTTCTTTCTGGATCTCATTACAAATTGTCAGAAACTTGATTGAAAGGCGCAGCTGTGAGGTAGTCTGACACATTTATCATAGTCTGAGAAACATCAGTCTGTTAAACGCTTAAAGAATTACGTAACCGGTGCTATTATGGACATATTGTCCCTCATGAGGATTTAGCCTTTGTTTCTGCCATGCAGCTGTCGGGGGACATTGAACGCCTCATGCTGACGGACTGTGAAAATCTTAAAGTAATTGGAAGGCACTAAAAAGCATAGAAGAGAGGGATTTATTATTATCAACACTGAGCAGAAATATAAAAGTGACCAGCGTTGCTTTGAGCTACATCCTGCTTTTAGGAGTGTGTTCTTCTCAGGTATGACCCACACAATGACTTCTTTTCCCTTTTCAATTACCTGGCACAAAGCTGTAGAGATCCCAGTGAGAGCAAACAAAGCTTCTATCAGTCAATCACCAGCACTGGAGGCATGTACTTGTGTGCCTTTAAAATTGAAAGCTTCATAGTTATTAAGCCTTTCCTTCAAAGCACATTCCTCTCGGAGAAAAGCGATCTCTTCAAAGGGAGTTTTCGTGAACTCGCTGATACGTTCTCCAACCTCAAATTGCCTCAGTGCCGGTTCTTCAGCCCCATTTCTGATGTCCTTTTTCGTTTTATCACAAACAGTTAAAGACTTTCTTAGCTCCCCAAACATGAGACATTCCCACAATGTGTCCTTACACAAAGAAAACAGAATAAAAGTTTGTATTAAAAGTTTTTCAAGTAACAAATTCAGACACTTTGTCGATCCATTGTAGAATTAGTTAGCACAAAACCTCACATTTGCCTCTGGAAACCTGCAGGAATTTAGTATTTTCTGTTCATTGTTTGCATGTTTTCTGTGTGGATATCTATCTCCTTGGCCTTGGCCTCTGGGTCGGGATTAGAAATGTATTAGATGGAGAAACTTCAGGTGCCATAAAACTAATGGCCTCTAAATTCAACCATGAGAAGCAGAGATGATTGGAAAACTTTTTTGAAGGATCTGAAATTACAATCCGGCTTCCCTGAGGAGTAGTCTGAAGCATCGGAGGACCTGTGTAATTCTCTCTCTGATGAAAACCCTTAATACTGATTTATCTGATCCAGCAGCAGCTTTCTCGGGTCTGTCCGGAGAATACCAATCAACCATTCAACCACGAATCATACGGAGGAGAAATGAGCCGGTCCAGGGTCTTACAAACAACAGAATCCAACACCCGGTCATCCACAATATGGACCCTGACCTCTACCAAGGCTTTGTTTGGTGGAAAAAAAGTATATTATAGGTACTTCAAGTCAATATTAGCTTTTAATAGAACAGAATTTCTGCAAAAGAACAACTCTGAAAACTAATCTCAAAACAGAAGAAGAAGCCATAACTTAACCCTTTAAAGTCTGATCCAAGAATAAAACAAAACAGAAAATTACTTTTTTTTTGGTTTGAATTCCTTATTTGGCCTTTTAACAAAATATGTAAAAAGAAAAAACAGAAATTATTTTTGATATTAATAATTTATTACTATGCGATAAGTCAAGATTATTTTTTGTGTAGTCTTCTGCCCCCTGTTATCAGGTGTATCTGATTGTGTACTATAGGATTTTGAGTAAAGTTTTTACCATTAAATTAAGCAAAAGGTGTCAGACGCAAAACATTTCAGAAACCGTATGAATCCGATATGATACATTTGGCATTACAGGGTTAAAACTAAACGTTTGTCTCTGAATTTGATCAGATTATTCCTGCACACAACCGCCCAGCAGGAGAACGGACGTCCGGTATTTAACGCTAAAAAGTCAAAAGTGAGCCGTGGCAATGCTTCAAACTAAAATGGCACTTGAGAGGAACGTCTGCCTGAGAGCAGAGTCCAGATGGAATAAGCTGCAAAACAGGGAACCGTCCAGTTTTATTTGCAATCTGTTGTTTTCTGATGGGACTGGGAGATCCATTTGCTTTTATCCTATTAATTACCAGATGGAGGAAATAAATTAAACAGCAGATTAAACCAAAACGGGGAAAGTTTTCAGCTGTATATTCT